TAAAATATCGAGTGTGATCGCTTCTCTCGTTTGTTCGGTCGTTCGAAGCGAGATCGCTGAACACCCGATAGCGCCTGCTTAATGACGAAGTGTTGTAGATCGGGAGCATCGACGTTATGATAATTGTGTAAGGCGGTAATGCTAGCGACATAATTTAAAATTGTTGTATATTCTAGCCGGCGAACTAAATAGGCAATGAACAAAGCGACTGTTGTCTCGGTTGCGGGAACAGCTTGCAATCTGTAGCGAGAACAGAAGCTACGGTACTGTTTCCACTGGTTCATTCGGGTTCGCAGGGATGAACTTGAGTACGAGTTTATCCTAAGCTGGTTGAGCTCAGTGATCAATTTTCCTGTATTTAAAAATTAGCATTACGCATATGATTTTCGAAATCTTCGATAGCCGTAGCGCCGGCAACCGGGTAAAGCACGTCATATGAATGTGCCGGGCAGTGGGCCCGGTTAGCTAGCAAAAGCTCGCCGTAACACGGCTCAGTCATTATGCGGCTGAGTGCATCGGCAGTTATATTATCTACGCCAGGATAATGTCGAGCAGAACAGCGGAAGTTATACTTTAGCGACGCGTAAAAAATTAATTTATGCCATTTTAGCTGTTGCACTTTTGTGGTCCTCTGTTTATAAAGGAAACAGTGGCTGTGTTATCGGAAAGAACTATTGTGTGTTTCCCAATGAACAACGGCGCCCATATTATGGCAATGCAAGCTGATATTAGCTCAAGGTAATTTATATTAGCAGAACAGGTTTTGTCAACATCGGGGGGCGGTAGCCATATCGTTTCAAATTTGCTTGGTGGTTGGCATTAGAGCCACGTGCCCGCTAGCCAGTAATTGCCCATGGCGGCACCAAAACCTGAAAAGCTAGCGTCAGATTGTATGTTTATGACTTCGCGGATTTCTCCTAATCTGCAGGGAACTTGCCCGTTTGTTGAACTAGCAAAATAGATTCACCAAGTAAGTTCTTCTCGTAGCAACTTAGAAATTCGCAGTTTATGGCACTGCCGGTTTAGAGAATTTATAGCGTCAAAAAATATGCGCGAAAAAGGCATTGCGCCATATATCGCTTTAGATGCGAATGACATATAACCAGCAAGCGTTTGGAGTTCTCGCTTGCTTATTTTTTGTTTGCTAGCATGGTACTTACAAATAGCGATTAGCTTTTCTAGCTTATCTAGCGGAAGTTCGATTTGACCTTTTTTGAGAATCAATTATTAGCCCCAAAAACTGTATGAAAAGAAAAACCACAGCAGTAAGAAACTTCTAATGACCACTGGCTGCGTGCGGCGTGCGCATCGTTTATATATGCGTCGTCGACAACGGGTGCACTGCAGCCAGTGGTCAGCCGTACACTGCGAGTGGCCAGCTCCGCGCTTTGCATTAAACAGATTCCAATGCTTGGAATCTTCTACGTTGTTTCCGGCAGGCAACGGTAGACAGTAGACACAGCGGAGACAGCCCTCTCTCTGCTTCCTATCACCGACTGACCAGTACCGCGTACGTACGGTTGCTGACTGGTCCATTGTTCCGCACTGACCACTGTGCGCTAAAACCGGTTGCTGTCTCGTTATGCGGGTGAAGAGCGCCAGACCGATGTGTATGCTACGGACGGTACAAAGTGTGTATAGTGTACACCAATTGACAAAGCAATATTGGCGGATTAGGCCGGTAACAATAGATGAAGGGCCATTTTCGGTGCTTTGTCACATGCAGATGGATTATGACACGTATAGCCGGGATTTACCGTCAGGATGAATTAAAACGGGATTAGGGCCTTTTATAAGGAAAACATTTTAGTGTATTGGTGAATAGGCTACCGTTTACTGTAAGTTAAATTGCTGTCAGGAAGAATTAGATGGTGACAGCTGGGAAAAAGTAAAAGCTTATTTAAACCAGTGATTATTAAATGTTTCCCACCCGGGATTAAATTTCCTTTTGAAGACTAGTACTCCCGCATCAAGTAAAATAATACTGTAGCGGCGGTATCAAGTTAGACCACAGAGTGTGTTTACCGGAAAAATGCGCAATGTATATACGCACGGGCAAAATTCACGATATTTCACCAGCAAATCAAAATCGGAGTTCCTTGAGTTCTTGAACAACGTTCATGATTTAACAATTCATTTAACTAATTAATACGAGTAATATCTTAAAATGAAAAATCAGCTAGAATCTGTATTACAGAAGGCTGAAAAGTAATGCATACAAAGCAGAGCTCTGATGACTATGTTGGTTTGTTGTGGTTTTTGGGGTGCCACTGACGGGGGAGACGGTTTTTAGTCAGCGTTGGGATGGACGGTGAATAAGTTTACAGGATGGGCGCAGAAAGGCGATGATTTTCAGAGCTCTGATGAAAAAAATTTGGGCGAAAAAGTAGTTAAATTTACGTGGAAATTTGCTATCAGAAATAAGAAAATGTGAAATGGGATTTGGGTCGTGAATTTTGCCCGTGCAGCGTGGGTATATCCAGTGCGCATTTTTCCGGTAAACACACTCTGTGGTCTAACTTGAAAGCGCCGCTACAGTACTGCAAACAGAGAACTGAAAAATTGGAATACTTCAGTCTAAATGTAAAAAAAAACTAGAACGAGACGTAAGATTCCATTTCTAAATTTTTATTCATCAAACTTCTTTTGAGATGACTCTTGAATTGGAAGATGATGAGAAAGTGTTGACAGAATATTTGGGTATAATTGAAAGTGCCCATATCTGATGGCCGGGCTCATTACGCGGCGCGCTAGAGCCTCGTAACACATACCCAATTCTTGCAATGCAATGGCAGATCGACTGTCAACTGACCACTTGCCCAACTCATCGGTCATTCTACAAGAATTTTGACGTTTCAAGTGGAAAACTGTATAGCGCGGAATGCTGCCGTGCGTAGACATTATATTCTTTACCACGGCAATGGACATATATTAATATGCATGAAGAATGCCTCTTAGGCAGGAAAGCAGGTAGACTACCACCCGTAACGCGCCGTTTCAACAAGGGTCTGCATTTTAAAAGGATGCAAACGATGATCTCAGGGCGCTGACTCCTTCTGAACGTGACATGTTTTCTTTGTCGCCTTTTTTTGTTACATAGAAAGAGGTGTAAGATACGTACGTAACGCAGCTGACTATCACATGCGAGACGAAGATAAGGAAAGTTTGACTAGAATTTAATAAAGACTAGACTAGAATTGTTTGACTAGGATTCTGTAATGTGCAGTGCCGCTTCGGCAATAAATATCTCGTATGCGAGTCATGCGGCCTCGTTACTGTTGCCGGCATCCTAGCAGGAGAACGGTTCTTTGTTTGTTAAACCCTGAGAACCGGTTCCCATGAACCATCGCGCACAAAGTGCTGACTAAGGCAGAAGCCCGTTTGTAAACTTCTAAAACGTGAAACGTTACTGGCGCGTTATTAAATTCCCGAGCCGCAGCTTTATTGTTAGTTGTAATTTAGTTTTCAGATTAGGTTATGTCTTATGCTGCTTCCGGGATGACAATAGCGCTCGAGGCAAGAAAGCGATGGAAGAAGGGTTTCTCGTTGAAAAACTAGCAAGCACGTGACAGCGACTTGTTTTAAAAGCAATGGAAATTAAAGCGCATTTGCGGAACCATAGACTAAAGCTTACAAACAAGCTTCAGTATGCAAACTATCGCCTATATTAGCTTTATCAAATCATGGATAAAAAAGCTGTTCTAATTGCGCGAGCCGAAGCGACCGCGTCCGTCCAAGTAGTAGTCATTGTTGTTGTTGGAGGTGGTCTGCACCGGACAGGTGCTGATGTGCCACTTAGTCCACGTGCCGCTGTTGAAGGTCCATGCTTTGCAGTCGGCTGTTACAACAGTGGCGTAGCTGGCATTGCGCACATCCAGCGTCAGAGCGTTGAGAATCGATCCCGTCAAAGTTGTTTGTGGCGGTGTTGAAGCGGAACACTTGACCTTTGCTGGAGATGCTCCAAATCACCGTCTTCCCCGACGCTCACCCATTTGCTGATCGGAACACTTGAACGTTGTGGTAGTGGCTGTCAATGTCTATGGTGCTCCATCGGTCGAATGCTAGGGTTCCATTAAACTGTAGGACATTTCCGCTGTCGCCATTCTCCGATTGAATTGCCACAGCTGTGTTTTTGCTCATGGCGTTGATCTACAAAATTGGTCATTGCGATTTACGCTCAGTATAGTGCAACGACTTCAGCCGATAAGAGCAGATGTTTTCCGCATAGGCGACTGTTTTATTATAGTTCTCTTGCTCGTTTACGAGAACGGGGCGTAACGCAGCTGCAATCGATCGTGTCCATATAATTTCTATTTACTTATACATTAATGGCGTGCAAGGCATATTTTATAAATAATCAGTATTAAAGCATTAAATAGAAAGAAATTCAAAGAACTGTACTGACGGACAGTGATGAAAAATACGCCCAACAAGAGTTTATACGCCCAATAAGGGTTTGTGTTTACAAGATAAGCCCAACAAGAGATACGCCCACCTGCACACAGTCGGAAATATCGTAAGCTAACTCCCAGCCATTGCTGATTGGATTAAAGCGGAAAATGTCACCAGTCTGGGTGCACATATGATGCCAGCCATCCGGACTGGCACCGACGGTAACGGCTTTGTCCGACATATATCGGGCGTTTAAGGGCCCAGTCGGTACTGATTGGGGCAATGCAGCCCATACCCCATTGACCAGACGGTGAACGATGCCGGTTCGATCGATGCCCAGGAGCTCACTGCCTTTCCGGAAATATAGGAGAAACTAGGCGGTACACTCGGCGGGCCAGGCATCGGGCCAGACGGTAGCATCGGGCCGAATGGGGCATCTGGCCTAGGACGCCAATCACGCTGACCGACAGAATCAGGACACCTCCACAATCATCGTTACGAGACTACGGATTGACCTTTACGGAACTCGCTCTTCATGCGTTTCGGAAAAATGGCAGTGCCTACTAGAAGTATAGAGCGAACATCAGGTGGATGGACTACGGCTTGCGGCTTTGGTTGAACAGTGGAAATAGATTTATAAGAGCTGCGACACGAAATGTAGGAATTTTATTGTAGTTGTAAAATGTAAAGCTATTTTGGTCTCACGGAAATCTGGGGATGAAAGAATGGAATGTACTGTATCCGCCCGCACAAGTTGCTCCACTGGCAGATCCGGCCGTTGCCTTTGCCCTGCACACTGCGCTGAAAAGCGAGCAATGTGGTGCAAATATCATACCTCACTCTGTGGGGTAACTTGTGCGGGCGGCTACAGTATCATTACCGGATCCTTCGGAAAATGCTTAGCCAGTCGTACTGTTAAGTTTGCAATATTCCTGTTTGTTTACGAGGTTTTATGATATCGTAAACCCTGGATCTGCAGAAACAGGCTCGTGGAAGTGTCTTGCTTATTTACATATGACAACCTGAATTCTTCGGTTAGCATGCATTAGCACATCAAATGGAGCTGTTTCGTATTTTTAATTGTCGAAGTCGTAAATTCTGTGAAGCCATCTAGCTCCAACTCAAATTTATTGGCCAGACGGAATGATAATAATCCGTAAAACTGGTGTGTAACTAATTTTTATCTTTTGTGGCTTAGGCATGGAAAATGTTAGCTTTTGCACTTGCGGTGTTTATGTCTAAGATTTGCTGGTCCGGCTTAACCAATACTGTCACAGCTGTACGAGCATACTGTTGCCACTCACTCACATAACAACTACGTTGCCACAGCGAAACTGATAAATTTTATGTAACATGATGTTTGTGCGCTGTGTTTCTCACAATTTTCGGGAGGATAACACGTTAAGAAAGTCCAGACTTCCATCAGCTTAATAATTCACGTTAACGCTCCTGGGTTTCAGCGTATAATATTACCTTTTCATAAACTGCTTCCCGCATGTATCTGTATGTACGCGTATGTGCTCGACGCGCACGAAAACAATAATAAATACTGTAATTTGCACCGAGCGCGAAGCGCGAGGTGCTGCAATAAGTCATCGTCAAGAGCATAAAATTTGTCTGCAGCCACAAGGAGCGTACGTCACGCTTTTCCAATTCCACAACCCCATACCATTTCCCAGCGGTATTGGCGCTCGCCCTCGTGCAATAATGTGGTTCGCAACCACCGCTAGTTACTAGCGGGGGTTTGTTAACCGTTACCCGGAATTTGTACATCCCACTGAAAGCGAATTGATACTGCTCGGTGCTCCTCTTTTGCAGGCTGCCATTCCTGATGCCATTCTTCGGAAGTCCGTGGATCTGCAAAGACTAGCATCCAAGCTAAGTATACTGCCTGCTCATCAGGCTTAATTTCTGCTGCGCACTTGTATTGGCGTTCCTAAAATGAACTATTTACTAGGACACTACGGCGTGTACAAAAAGTGTGGGATGTAGCTCTGGTACAAAAACTTGCCGAATTATTAAGGAAATGTTTTCTTGTGATGTCACCCACTGTGCGCGTTTGCTTGCTGTTGCAGAGCCGGAATCTGGCAAATGGCTGAACGCTCTGCCTGTTTCTTCACTTGGAACCCTGATGTCGGACGAGTTTTCGCGTAGCAGTCGGCCTTCGAATCGGAGCAGCTATCTGCCGTCCGCACCTTTGCACGGACTGTCGTCTACCTGTGGACGAATACGGTCACCACGGCTTGTCCTGCAAAAAGAGCGCTGGGCATTTTCTTTACCACACCGAACTGAACGAACTGATAAGCGGCGGAAATATGAATATTCAGCACCTGAGTACTATTTTGTTGCATTGGCTTTTGAAACTTTTGGCGTCGCTAGCCCTTCATGTATTAAGTTTTTGCGAGAATTGGGCAGGCGGTTAAAGGATGCTACGGGAGAGCGACGCTCTTACGAGTTTCTGCTACAGCGTATTAGCATGGAAATATCTGTACAGCGGTGGAATGCGCTGTCTGTGACTTCAACCGTACCGCATTCTGATGGTTTTAGCGCTGTTTACTTTGTTTTTTGATGTTGATGTTAAAACTTTTGAACGATAAGCAAACCAATAAATTATGTAGCTTGTTAACCACATCAGGGCACCGAGCGAGCGCCAGTACCACTAGAAAATGGTATTGGATTTGTGGAATTTGAAAAGCGTGAAGTACGCTCTTCGTGGCGTCTGACAAATTTTATGCTCTAGACGAAGGCTTAAAAAGTAGCATCTCGCTAACGCTCGATGCAAATTATTTCAAAATGCATTGCAAAAAGTCAAACCCTAGAGTTCGGTACGAGTAGCATTAAATACTGTCACAGTCAGTCGGAACCAGATAACAACTGGGTTCTTCTCAAGAAAAAGTCTAGCATACACTTACTCAAATGTTGAAGCCTACTTCGGCCTAGCGCCAGGGAGAGAGAGACTCAGCGCCAATCGCCAGAGAGAGATACCAAAGAGAGACTAGAGAGATCTAGCGCCAATCTACGAGTAGATTGTCAATGTCTTTGAGGACATCTTTGTCTTCCTTACAGTTCCGCTAGACACCGCTTTGCACGACTGACTCACGGTCTCACGCGGATAACCAATTTATTGTAGCACAAAAATATGTAATTCTGGACCTGTGGTTACAGTTTTATCGTTAACAAGAAAGTAACAGCACTGCAACCTGCGCCGGCAATTTCTTTTCTTGGTAATGAATAAGCAACTCAACTTCAGCACGGAACTGCTACCGGCGACACATAATATCTTTTACCTTCTGGCTCATTTATACAAGTGTTGCGCAAAAAAAGTTGTATAAGCGAATAAAAGCCAACAAATCAGCAAATGCCAGTCGTGTTTTTCGGAATTTTACTTGAGATGAATGTTGGCCCTAGATAAACTTTAGAAAAAGTAATCCTTCAAGAACGTTCTGTTTTACGCATGCTGCAAACAAGATCTTCGATTCAAGTGCTGGCGAGTTTATGCACACTTGTACCCATGCTGCTTTCACTAATATTAATACGCTTTTAAACATAACGGACGGACGGACGGACGGACGGATGGGCGGGACTTAACGGTTTCTCCTTCTGCGAGTCCTACGTTGTTCGGAAATACAAACACTAAAGTACAAATTATGCAGCAGAAGAAAATGACATCGACATAGGTTTTGACAGTCGCAGATGTAATATATACGCATCGAGATCAACACATTTTCGGAATTCGTGGTATTGATCCGAGTTTGAGTTTACGTACTAAGTTTTACAATGGTTTTTAGAGTATAGTTATTCTTCAAGGAATCTGCACTTTCATGAAAGAGACATTTATAACAAGTTCCGACTGGTAAGTTTCTAATTAAAATGTGTTGTTAGGCTGGTTATATTCTTAAATTAGGTTTATTATAAAATAATATCAGCACGGGTGGTTTCTTGTATGTACCAAAACTTTTGACATTTCCACGAGGCTACTTCAGCAGGGCTTAGTTGATTTGTTTGAATGGTTTTCTAGGTTTTCTTCCCACCATGTCATGCGGCCTTTTTCAGAAAAGTGTCAGCGAGACGAGGGTCATCAGTGGTATTCGCTATAGCAGTTTTTGTCCTTGCTGCAGCGTACGCGGTGTTTAAGTTGGTGGGTTATTATTATTCTGTTATATTACAGTTTAATGATGACGAACGTTGCCCTCTATTTTTGATCTGTCTACCTCATTACATGGTCAAATGGAGCACCCCAACAAGCAGCCGTAGTAAGTCAGTTTCCGGGTACTTCTTATTTCCGGGTACTTTCCGGGCACTTCTTTAAGAAGCCAGTAAATAAAAATAAAATGATTGCACCAATTACAAATTGAGCAAAAAACGTTTGTACAACATAGCAAACGCTAAACGTTATATTTATTCTTGAAAACAGCATTCTTAAATCTAAAACGTTTACAGCATCTGTATATCTAAAATAAAACGCTGAGTGTTGTGTTTAGCATAGAAAATAGCATAACTGCAGCATTGGCACTACAAGTAAACATTTTGTATTTACGAGCGAGAAAGTTGCGATCTAGCTTGCCAACTACGTCGCCATCTTCAGCTTGAACACAGGTGTGGCCGTCCGGCCGTTCTTCTGTCGCCGACAAGAATCTGCCACCAGTAGCGTAAACAGTCGGGACGACCATCAGGAGCCTGCACGGCTGCTGGTCGCCGCGGCTCTGCTGTACTGTGCCACGCAGTTTTATCCTTTTGTTTTGAACATTATCGTTCTTCTCAATTTTCGCCAAGTTTGTCACCGTTTATAGTTGCGGTAGTTTATCGACATGGGTAATTGCGAAATAGCCTAATACTAGTACTAATACTAGTGAAAGCAGTTTATTTGCTTACAACACCCGTTTTGCGCTACTTCACTGTGTACTTACTGCACTTCTACTACATAGTATGCAAAGTAGTAAATTTTGCTCAACGGCAGTATAACTTCAACGACTGCTGAACATGTAGTGTAATTGTAAGCAGAACATAACAGAGCAAAGCAGATTATACTCCGAAATATAAGATTGCAAGTAGAAAAATTAGCTAATCTGTCTACATTACATTCTGCTGCTCGTGATCTTGGTGGCAGGCAAAGAGTCTTCAAGTTCGTGCAATTCTAGTGGCGATTCAGTATTGTACATTTTCATTTTCATACGCATGTATGTGTGTATGAATGAATGAATGAATTTATTTTCCCAGGACACATAGTCTGGAAGAGACATCATTGTCATGATGTCGCGGGTTAGAAACAATAGAATAATAAAAGTAATGAAAAATAAATAAAAATTTGTATTAGGTAAAACATTGGAATCGTTCAGCTAAAGTTCGGCAGTAATCG